TCTCTCCTGGATTTGCCTGCTGAGTTTTCGAGTTCGTCCACATCGCAGCATGTGTCATTATTTCCTTCCTTTTTATGGCTGTGTAATATTCCACCATGCAGACAGACCACATTTTGTTTATCCACCCATTGGTTAATGGCACTTGGGTTATTTCTACCCTTTGGCTATTGTGAGTAACGTTTTTCATTCCTGTTGGTTCGGTTTTTCTGAGTAGCTCTTTGGAGTGGTGAGCTGTCCACATTTCTACAGCTTGGCTGTTTGGAGAGCAAGGAAAGCAGAGCCGAGCGTGGTGGTCAGCTGGGGACTGGTGTGCTACGAGGTGCAGATGCAGACCAGGGTGGTGTGAAGGTTGGGGAGAAGGCTCTGCCAGAGGGAGGGGCTTACATCTGGCTCCAGAGCCATCTGGTGATCGGAGGGTATTTTCCCTGTTGATTATTAACTGATGGTTTTGATCTTGAGAGTAGATCCCTGGGGCTGAAACTAGTGCTTAGCTGAGATGCCATAAGTATTTTCAGAGTCATTTAAATAGCCCTCAATCCTCGATTCTCTCTCTCTCTACCTGGAGACCACACGACCATTTTATGAGTTATGATAATAAAAAAGATGATGATGATAATAATGATAATGGTCTACATTTGTGTAGGGCCTTCCATTTTATTTCGGAGACATAACTTATAATTCCTTAGAAATTATCACTCCCATCTCTGCAAGTGAAGGACACAGAGAGGTGAGGTGACTTAACCAAGCTCGCACAGTGGGGTAGTGAGTAGAGCTGAACTGGACCCCAGGGATCTCTCTGTTCTTAGTGTAGGGCATTTTCATAGGAATGTGCGATGGTCTCAGGGGGTCCGAGGCAGAGCCAGCTCAGGCCGGAGGCAAGGATGCTGGATGCCTGCGTGCCAGAAGCTGGGTGCTCCGCCCCGGGGCCCGTTGTCCAGTTCCCTACAAACAGCCCCATTTGGGTGAATTGCTCCCTTGTTTTTCCAGCTTCCACTCCAGGCTCTTTGACCATTTCCTCTTGAGATTTGCATTAGGACAAAGCTGGCTGGAACCTCATTTGGCTGAAGCCAGTTAGGACCTCTCCTGGCCTCCCTGAGCGCCCCCAGCCACCTCAGGATCACCAGGCTCTGGGGAAAGACTCCCAGAGTAGAGGCCCTCAGCGCCGCATGGGTCTGGGGCAGGGGGATGCTGAGGAGGTAGGAGGAGGAGGGTTCCTGGCCTGTCCACTCGCGCCTGCTCTTACCCCCCTTCTCTTAGCTGAGTGAATGATCTCCTGCCTGCCCCCCTCTGCCTTCCTCTGTCCTCCTCCTCCCGTCACCACCCCCTCCTCTTGTGCGTCCCTGTGTGAGTCTGGGCCCCTGGTCCATAGAGCTGGGGGAGTGCCATTTGGCTGGCTTGGTGGGGGGGCAGTTTTCAGTCTCAGTGAGCTGACACACGTCAAGATCACGGTGGATTCCTAGAGATGTGCTATAAAGAGCACTGAGGGTCCTGCCTCTGCTGATAATTTACCTTTTGCTTACAACAAATTAGGGCAGATTCAAGGTCACCCCTTGACAGAATCATGTCACTGTCACCTACTCACGTGTGGCATGTTGTCCTGAGACAGGGCTGGCATTGCACTGGGCGCTGTAGTTCTTACTCTGTCTTATCTCAGCCAGTGGTCAGGCCTGGCTGTCCTTGGGAGGGTGGCTCACACTCAAATGTCATTGGTCATGAGGGCTGGGACAGGACCGGGTGGGGCCAGCTGGCCGCAGCAGGGAGGTGAGGCAGGAGCAGGGATTCCGCCCTCCTTTCTGTGGTCTTCCAGGGACGATGCCGAGGCTGGAACCTGCGACTTGGGTGGTGTCTCTGTTTCCTAGGGCTGCTTGTAACCAAGAGCCACAAATGTAACCGAGTGTCTCAAACAGGGTGGGTGGCTTGAAATAGCAGTATTTATTTGGAGGCTTGGTTCTGGAGGCTGGACATAGAAAATCAGAATGTCGGCAGGGCCGGGCTCCTTCTGAAGGCTCCAGGGAAGGACCCTTCCTTGTCTTGTGTGGCTCCCGGCTCCCTCATCCTGAGGCGTTCTTCCCATGTGTCTGTCTACACCTGGCCACCTTTTCCTCTTATAAGCAGACCAATCACGTTGAAGTAGGAGGCCAACCTAATGACTTCATCTTAACTTGATTATATCTACAGAGACCTTATTTCCAGTGAGGTGACATTGAGGGGTCCTGGAGGTTAGGACTTTAGCATATCTCTGGGTGTCGGAGCAGAATTCGATTCATAGTGGGAAGTTAGCTCTGAAATAAGTGTCTTTGGCTCCTAGGAGTGGGGGTGGAGTCGAGAGGCGGGGTGGCTCAGCGTGGTGCATCCCCCACCCCCCCAGGGGCCGCTCTGAGCCATCTCTACCCAGTCAGAGTAGATTCTAATCTGTAGCCAGGGCTGCTGCGCGCTGCGTTCTGATCTTTCCGAGGGCCAGTCACACCTTTGCCCACCCTGGTGTCCCCTCTGGAATCTCAGACAGAACCCTGGAGCTGGTGTGAGGCTGGTCTTTCCTGCTCTTGCACCTTCCAGGCCCCAAACATCATTTGGGAAATCCTTCTTGTGGGAGATGCCCTGTGCTCCCACCTGGCAGTCCTCACCACTCCTTGGAGACTGGTCCTTGGAGGTTAGTCCCCCATCTGGGGAGAGCAGGCTGGCTCAGAGGAGAGGGGCTCAGACCAGGGCAGGTTACGAGGGCCATTTGTTTGGGACGCAGGGACCTTGGATAAGAATCACATCTGCTCTGGTCTCATGGGAATGAGCAGCTTGTTGCCTCATGGGGAGAACCAGACTGTGTATGAGCCACTCGTGACCACTGATACTAGAACCTGCCGGTATTGCTCTCCCCTGGGGTTTGTGTTATTGGCAACCAAGGGCAGCTATGGGTCAAGTTTGCCCACAAGCTGTCTCCAGGGGAGTAGGCCGGAAGTCCTCAGCTCACCCCCAGCAGTCCTAGAGTCTCTGGTTGGGGAGCTTGCCCACCCCTCCCGCATGCTTTTTTTTTTTTTTTTACCAGACTCCCAGTCCCCCAGGGACAGCTCCCTGTCCCTGCCTTTGCCTGTCCTCACCTCAGGGGAGCATCCTTGATCATGCTTCCTTCCTTCCCTTTCCCCCACCACGGCCTTCAGGGGCGTAGGCCATAGAGGAGGAACAGTGGCTGCTTGGAGGAGGGCAGAGGGGCAGGACCCAGCCCTGTCAGGCCCGCAGGTGGAGAGGGCCTGAGCCCGCCATGGAGGGAGGCCAGCGGCTCTGGCTGAGAGCTTGAAGGAGCACATTCATGTCTGTGTGAATGTGTGTGCACATGTGCCAGGTCTTGGCCCTGCTGGTTTCTGAGCTAGTTACAGTCTGGATCAGGAGGAGGAGACCCCTCTCCAGCCGTCAGAGTGAGGGCAAGCCCAAGAAGAATGGAGTGGGAAGGGGCAGCAGAGAGGGGGAATGGGCAGGGTTGAGGTTAATGGGGTCACGTGGGTCCTCCCCAAGCCAGATGTTCACGTAGCCTCCTTAGGGTGCTTCCCAGGGGACCGGTGGCAGGGCCCACAGGGTGGTGTCAGGGTAGACAGGTCCCTGTGGCACTGGGCCTGGTTTTTCTTAGACTAGGCCTGTCGGGTTGTGGGGGCCCTGGACTGGGTAGCGGCCAGGCCACAGGGCAAGGGCTTGCCCTGGAAAGGCAGGGAGCTGGGCTCTGCAGGAAGCTAGCTTCTCTCATGAACGAGGTTGGGGTGGGGCTGTTAGTCCCTTTGGCAGTACATGGGCTGGAAAGTAGTACAGAAATATTCTCTCGAGTTGGCAGAAGAGGTGCTTTGGTCACTTAAGCGGGACCAGGTGCTGGGCTAACAGCTGCTTCAGGCTGGGAAACAGTTACAAAACTGGAGCTCGGGTGGCTCATCCTGGTCCTCTTAGACTGTTACTGCTCTTATTCTGCCTTTCCTCCTGTCCCAGGAGATAACTAGGGCATGTCCAGGACACCAGAGTCCCTCATCCGTCTGGGGACTCCCCCAGGTTCTTCCCAGCTGGCCCTGTTGCGTAACCGTTGTTCTAAAGCCTTTTCCTGCTGCAAACATTCTGCCCGGTGCTCAGGCTGCAAACTAGCACTGCCTGGCCACCAGCAAGGGCCAGATGGAAAGTGGGGAGCGTGTGAGAGCAGGGAACTTGTTGCAGTCATGTTGTCATGGTGACCCAACTCTGTTTAGCTGTCTCTCCATGGTCCTAGCCCACATGGACTAAAATAAGTCTTACCTGCAGCTTATACCCCAGGCAGCTCATCCTCCCAAGGTCTGCTGTCTGGCCAGTGTGTATGTGTGTGGCGGGGGTGGGGGGACACGACAAAGGGGCCCCAGGGAGGGTGAATTGAAAATGTTTACCCCTTTCCCCTTCTTTTCCCACCCCGCCCCCAGACCTGGATCTCTTTAGCTCTGTGGTCTCCGGCTTCAGTGTGCATCAAAACCACCTGGAGAGATTGTTAAAATACAGATTCCTGGGCCCTGTCACTGGAGAGTCTGGGTACACCCAAGAATTTGCATTACTTTTTAAAAAAGAGTTAAAAATGTTTTATTTATTAATTTTTAGAGAGAGGGGAAGGGAGGGAGAAAGAGAGGGAGAGAAACCTCAATGTGTGGTTGCCTCTTGCGTGCTGCCAACTGGGGACCTGGCCCACAACCCAGGCATGTGCCCTTACTGGGAATCGAACTAATGACTGTTTGGTTTGCCGGCTGGCACTCAATCCATTGAGCCATACCAGCCAGGACAGAATTTGTATTCTCACAGTGCCCGGGTGATGCTGATCTGCTGGATCAGAGGCCACACTTGAAACAGCCTGGCTTTAGATTTTTCTACATCCCAGCAAAGAAGAAATGCACCCCACTCTAGTGTCGAGTGGTGTGTGTTAGACCGTCTCCAAGGCCTGACACTTTAGAGGAGTGAGGGGATGGTACAGAAAGGCCCTTACTCACCTCTTCTGTGTTCTGTGCTCCTTACAGGAAGCAGGAGCTGGCCAACAGCTCAGATGTGACTCTCCCAGACCGGTCTCTGTCCCCTCCTCTCACTGCACCTCCCACCATGAAGGTAAGAGGCTTAGAGCTGGTAAGTGGGGGAGGCCGTGGGCGGCAGGGGGGAGGGTAAATCTCAAGGCTACGCTTTGTTGTGGCAGCACAGCAGGCCCCGCTGTGTCTGTCCCCGTGGGGCTGTGGAGGCCCGGACACCTCTAGAAGCAGCACTCACTTGAGCTTAGCAGTTCAGGAGGCGGGTGTGAGTGTGAGACGCAGGGGTGTTAGGGCACGGTGAGGAAATGAAATAGACCTACCGGGGCTGAGTGGGTTTGGTGGGGTGCTTGGCAGTTAGTGAGAGGCCTTGTGGAGCTGTGGGGTTCTGGAACTAGGGGCCCAGGCAGGAGTAAGTGGGAGGCTTAGAAAGCAGCTGCAGGCTAGTGGTGCCTTAAGGGGCTACTGCCCAGAAGGGCTACCAGGGCCTGGGGGCTGGGACCCTCATGGCTCTTGAACAGAACTTGCATGTTGGTCTCCCTGCCTCTGACTGGCCTTCTTCGGTGGGCCCTGTCCCACCAGCCCCTGTGGGACAGTTGCCTTAGAGGTTCTGGGGAGCCAGTAATTCTTTTCCAATTAATACTTTATTCACAAGTCTCTCATGGGAGAGCACATCTTAGGACCCCAGGCCCAGGCTCCTCTCATTCCTGCCCAGGAGCTGAGGGGCAGTGCCCTCCCCCCACTGTGCCCTCCCCTGTTTACCCTTCGGTCCCCCATGTTCGAATGGCCACACACTCCTGACGTGCCCTCAGAGAGGACTTGGTTCAGGCAGTGTGCCTGCCTGGGCAGCAGTGGGCCTCCCTCCCTTACATTCTGCCAGGTGAGGACTAGCTCTGAAGAAGTCACCTGCCTCCTGAGCCATCTGAAGGGACATCGAGGCCAGCCTCCATCTCTGTCCTGGAGCTCTGCTGTGAGGTGACTCACAGGCAAATAATTAGGGCTCTTCCCTTTTGCTCTCTGTTGTAACCCTCTTCTATAACCTAATCCATTACAAAGTGGTACCCCCAAGGGAAGTGGATAAAAACCATCTTTCCGTGATCATCCCATATTGAATGCCTCCCGTGCAGAGCTGTGTGGTATGCACCGAGGGGTGATACCAGTGAGTGGCAGCCAGAGCCTGCCCATGTTGCATTAGGATTCAGGGATGGGTGGGGAGTAGGCTGGCTGAAGACAGCCCTGCTCTCCTCCTGGTGGGGTACCTGGGGGCACTGAAAGCCCAGCTGCCTTCGTCAGCCTAGTCACAGTGCTGGCACCTGAGCCAGGTGCTGCAGTGGCTTGTGTGCGCCGGGTAGTGCTGAGGAGCATGTCACCAATGTATGTTTCTGCACGTTGGTCTGCAAAATGGGGTGTGGGATGCTTGTCTGTGCTCATGGATGGCGGGAGTGTGCAGGGAGGACTCTGAAAGTGTCCTGGGAGGAGTCACTGAGTTCTTGGCAGTTTTTAATTACTCACATACTCATTTAATTCATTCAACACCCAATATTTATTTGATGTTCTATTAGTCAAGACTCTTGATTTCAAGGGACAGAAACATAACTCACTTTGGCTTAAGCATCAAAGGGACTTTATTGCCTTTGTAATGGCAAGTATAGACTCCAGGCATGGCTGCATCCATGAAATCTGTCTTTTTCCACCTCTCTTCTGTATTGGTTTCATTCTTTGTCAGACTCTGTCTCTGTGATGACAGAAATGTGACAGCTGCTCCCGCTTGCTAAGTAATTCCAGCGAAGAGTCTCTTTTCCCTAGTAATTCTATCAGAAGTCCCAGGGAGAAGCTCACTGGCCTTTCTGAGGTCACATGTCTATCTCTGAACCAATCATCACAACCAGAGAGATGGAAGGCTCTGATTGGCCAGACTTGGGTCTCATGTCCTCTACCTAAACCCATACCTAACTCATACCTAAGAGCCCTCGGTGGGAGAAGGGTAGCTCTTCAAAGGAAAATTGAGGGTTCACTGTGAGAAGAAGAGAAAGTGGGTGCAGGCAGGCAAGACCAATAGCTTTTTACTACAAATGCTGACGATATGCTGAAGGCTGGGGACTTAAAGGTGAATAAGACATTGTGGTGGTCCTGGTTCTGGAGCTTGTAGTCTAGCTTGGGAGATGAGAGTTGAAAAAATAATTTTAAGAACGAGGGATGAACAGTTCGGCACGATGACTGTTACAAAGGAGAAGCACAGCCTACCTGGGGGCCAATATAAGGTCTGTGGATGGAGAGGGTCAGGTAGGGCTTCTTTGAGGGAATGATGTTTAAGCTGAACCTGGAGAGCTGAGTAGGACTTAGGCAAAGGTGCTGTCAGGCCGAGAGACCACTAACACCTGCATGATTTGGGAGCTCCTGAGAAATGCAGAGGCCCCACTCCAGACTGCAGAATCAGAGTCTGCATTTTACCAACGTTCCCATTCATACCCACTCTACAGGAAGCACTGCTGCAGGCTCTGACGTGCTGTCAGGCGGGACAGAGAGTTTCTCCAATCATGAGGCCAGGATGTCCAGAACACCCACAGTTAGGGACAAAGGGTCAGACCCTCGGAAGGTTTATTAAAGATTTTGGGCTTTCATCTGACTAAACGCAATGGCATTATTGAAGATTTTAGTCAGAGGAGTAAGGTGATGGGACTTTTGAACAAGCCACCTTGGCCGTTGTGTGGAGAGTGTGTAGGAAGGAGCAGAGTGGGGTGTGGGGGTGAGTTTCGGGCCCTCCGCAGGGGTCCGGTGAGGAGAGGGTGCAGGCCTGACCCTGAAGGTCCTGTGCGTCATTTGGAAGTGGTCTGGCTTCAGATTTCCTGGGAGGTAGATGGATGAGATATGAGGATTTGGGGGAGGTGGGAGGCAAGAGTGGCCCCAGGTTTGGAGCAACTAAATAAATGTTACAGCCATTCTCTGAGAGGGAATGACCCAGAAGGGACCATGAGGGCCTGGCTTCTGTGCCCTTTGGCAGTGCAGGTAGGGGCAGGGGGAGCAGGCGTACCCCTTAGGTATTGATCCCCTCAGAAATCACAGAATGTCAGAGGTGGACGATCCATTTCCTTTACAGACAAATTGGATGGCAAGTGACTCGCCTAAGGTCCCACTGGAGATAATTGTGTTCCTACTGTTGTCAGCAGATTTAGTTAAATTCGAAGACCCAAGCTAATTTTGGTGAAGCACTCTTCTCGTCCCACCCCAGCATGCAGGGGTAGCCCTTTGAGTCGCTTCTCCCATTGGGGAGGGCTTGCTGGGGGAGTGGCTGGCCTGAGAAGCTTGTTCTACCCCCAGTGCCACTGTCCCCCACTGCCATGCCTGCTGCAACTGGTCCTCCTCCCCCTCCCCACCTCTTTGCTGTTTGTGTTTTTGAAGGTTTTTTTTTTTTCTAATATGAAACTGAGAAAAAGCAACCAAAGAGATGTTGAGCAGATGGGCTGAATGAGAGCGCAGTTCCCAGCCAGAACTCAAGTTGTGTGGATGGTGCCGGCTGGGCTGGGAGAGGGGTAGGGGTTTAGGGCTCTCTCCCTGGGATTGTTTCCAGGCCCACATCTTTTATGATCTGGTTTTCCTGCCCAAATGGATCAACAGACATTTAGGGAGGGCTGGCTTTGTGTGCCCAGCATTTTGCTGGGCCCCGTGGGGTCAAACCCAGGCCGCAGTCTTCACCCTTCAAAGAACCTGCTGTCTACAGGGAGCCCTAATGGAGCAGAAGAAACCATATGGCTCAGCATGTGACAAACTCTAGTGTGTCATGTGGCTATTCGGTGGGGTGGAGAGGAGTGAGGACAGCTTGGTGGGGAGGCTGGTGGGGAGCAGGAAGGGGACCTAATGCGAGCAGTGGGGCTGGGCTGACCCCCGTGGGACCAACCATGCTCAACAACTCTCCCAGGCTTGGGGAAGTAAAGGGGCTGGGGCTGACCCCCTCATTGTCCTCCAGCTCATAGTGATTGTGCAGAGTGTTTCTTGGAGGTGGCAATGCTGGAACTTGATGTGACCTTGATCTGAATCACCACTCTGGCCCCTGGAGCTCCACTAGGTCTGAGCTGGCCAGGTCAGTCTAGAGGTGACCCTTGCTCTGTCTTTTCCATACCACTTTGTGTGGGTCTGAGGGCAGCCCCTGCCATAGACCTTCTCCTTTCCAGGAGGGGAAAAGGAGGCCTGGTGTTTTTTCTGCAGGGATGGGCAGAAGATCTTGTTCCTACTCTCCTTCCTTGGTCCTTTGTTTTTCATGACTCATGAATGCCTCCAAAACCTTCAGAGGAGGTTCAGGCAGGGATGCAAGTGCTTGGGTGCTAGGGAGGATAACGGAGGTTGGGGGAGCTTTCTCTCATTCCCTCCAGGCAGAGCTGGGCTATTCTCCTCCTCCTGCCCTCCCCAGCTCACCAGTTGCCCACCAGCCAGACTCTATCTCTGGGCATGGGCTGGGGTTTCCTTTCCAGCTTGTGGCACAGCCCCAGGCCCAGTGCTATCTCTTCTGTCCACTCTGGGAAGGGTTGAGTGAGGGATGTCAGCCCCTCTTAGATCTACCAGTTTTGTAGGGACAAGGTGAGGAGGTATTTATGTAAAGGATGCTGGGGAGCCTTCTAGGGTGGGGGCAGGAAGGGCTCAAGGACCCCAGCAAGGAGGTTTGGATCCCAATCCCCTGGAAGGGGACCTCAGAGGACAAACATTTGCTCCATCCATTACCACCAATGCAGGGGGTTTAGTTGGTTCTCTTGTTGATGCTCTGTGGGCCCCAGGAGAGCTGTCTCTGGTCTCCATACAGACCCCGTTTATGTTGCCTGTCCTGAGGCCACCTCCTCAGGAGCCACTGCCCAGGAGCTCTTTGAAGTTGTAGAGGCCAGAGGACAGGGCAGCCTAAGGCAGTGCAGATGTGAGAAAGCTTACCTGGTCTGCACCCGTGGGGCTGTGCCTTGGAGGCGCCAGGGCCACAGAGATGCCTGTGTGCACACCACCTGCATGGACCCACCCCTCATGCATGTACATCTGCACATGTATATAGTGTCCCTGATTTTGTTCATGTTTTAAGGCCAACTAGCCTACACTTCAGGCAAATTA